GCACTGCCCTCGCCATCCCTGCGCGATCGCTTTGCTTTGGTGAAGCCAATGCAGCGGGAAGGGGGTCGCCGCGTTCGCGCGGGAGGCCATAGGGGGTTTCCCCTCCGCGATGGGGGGGATCGGAAAAAGGGGGGGGGGGGCGCCTTCGCCCGAGGGCGCCACGGTCGAGACGACCGACAAGGGAGACGATCCCGCGCGTTTGGTCGCGTTCGCGGCCGATGCCAAATCCTCCCGACCGGGCGTTTCCACGCGGATTTCACCCGCCAGGGATGACGACGGCGCGATCGAAACGCCGGCGCCCATCGCGGGTGATTCCTCCTTCACCCCTTCGCTTCCTTTCCCTTCCACGGCGGCGGCGGCGGAAGAGCCCCCTCGCGATGCATCCTCGTCAGGGGAGCTTTCAAATCGCGCGAGAAGGGCGTCGAGGATGGCGGTATCGGAAAAATGGGCGTCCCCCGGGGTGGAATCGTGCGAATCCACGAGGTTGGCGAAGTGAACGCGTTTGACAGCCGTTCCCTCACCTCCGCGCATCGTTTCGCCGGGAAGGTGGTGGAATGCGAAGGAGCTGTCTTTTTCGAACAGGGAAGTTTCACCGTCCGAGGAAAACGAATGAAGTCTAGTAATGCAAGATCTACGTTAACGGAGATTCGCGACGCAAACGACTCAAGGCATAGAAAGATCCGTGTGTTTGTGCGTACACAACGTAAAGCTTAGAGAAAATGTAGAATCATTATTAAAGGAGTTTAGAAAAGAAAGTAATGTATCGATGAAATCACCACTTTCATATTCAGAAGCGTATTCCATATGGTCGTATATGTGTATGTTTTTGAAAGGCAAGTGCAGACTAGCATGTATTAAGGGAATGATTTTATGATGAAATGACGCAGTTAATGTAAAGCAAAAAGCATCCGTGCATTGAAATAAAATGCCCTTCAAAATATATTCATCCATCTCCTCGACCTAGAAAAGGGCACAAAATGAATATGACAGTTTTTATTAGGCTACTTTCCGACTTTAGATATGCATATAATAAGAAAGCAACAGAAGGAGTACGCTTTCTTGGAAACTTTTTGTAGCCTAATAAAGAATGAGTGCAAAGCTACTGTTGGCGATGCCTTGTCTCATTCCCTCAAGATTATTTACAGCATGCATTTTAGTAATTTAAAAATGATTGTGTAATAATATTCTATGTTTACGGTGAAACAGCTTTGGATAGTTAAAAGAGCGAGGCCTTTTCCACACAGACCTATGTAAATTCTTCTTACAGCTGATTGTATTTTATTCCCAAAAATTGCGGCAAAGAATGGAATCGAAAAGGTAAATTTGCTATATATATAAAAAGTGATGTACGGATGCATATATGTACATGTGGACAATAGAAAGATTTTATCATAGGCATCATAAAATCTTCAAAAATAAGCCAAATCAATCATACTAATCATAACGTCACTACAATCTCAAGAGTACGTTTGCAAGAAAAGCTATTTGCTAAAAAGACTGCGGAGCCTATAAACCCGCTTCGAGTCGGGAAGGGAATATTTTTGAAGCCATATAATCCACATAACACTAATAGGATTCCTAAAGAGTTTCAGCAGATAGTACTATGCCACTATGCGAAGACTAATAACTACGAGAAACAGACTGGTGAATAGTCCTAATAAAACATTTAGAACTCGATCTCCTTATTTCTCTACCTTTACTTCACATATCTATGTGACGATAAACGATAGATTAGTGGATCTGTATGCTTTCCAATATAACAAAATATGTTGAGCATCATTCTCCAACCGTAAACATCTCGAGAAGTGCAAAAACAAAATACGATATAGGCATCCGATCCATGCACAGCATTCAAAGTGATCTTCAATCTTGTTTTCACATGCAGATTGCAAACTAAACCAAACCAAATCAAAAAAAGAAAAATAAACGAGCACACCACCCCCGGAACTAGAGGGAGCTGAGTGCCGCCTTC